CGAATTTGCAAACGGCACCCGTAGGCCTCGTTTGACAAAAAAGCTCCTGCAGGCGGGAAATGTGAGGAAACTTCAAGAGCTCATCGGATGGGCCATTTCTGACACCTCTTGTAGCGCAGGACCAAGAGCAGTTTTCCACAGTTAGTGCAGCTATGACTCAGGGCCTGCATTACTCTCGACATGCACATGCACAAAAGACAAAAATCATGGGGGTGCATCTTTCCATATTCTAGTGGAAGATTCACTCTCTTGTTGCACATTTCGAGAGTAGTGCAGGGATGCCCTCACTGACGTTTTCCAGAGTGAATCTGACAGCTCTTGAATAGAAATCCAGGACGCGGCATCAAGAGTTAGTGCAGAGGTGACGAACTCTTGAATTTTCAAGATTCAAGAGTAGTGCAGCGAGACCCTTCTCCTATATCATTTTGACCATTTTTTTTGTGGAGAAATCATAAATGATATAGGAGAAGCCGTTTTTGGACGGGTTCGCACACGAAACCAAAAAAGAAAGGAGTGCATCTTCCTGCAGAAAATGGGTTTGCTATCAATAGTAACGAGTGTATTTTGCCACCTTTCTTGGGCAGATGCACTCATTTCGTTTTCGTTTCGTGTGGCTGTATAGTGTCTGGAAAGTGGACCGGTTTCAAGGGTGATTTTTTTTATTTTTTATTTTCCCAAGGGCGATTTTAAGTTCGTGGGTATTGAAAGAAACGAAAAATTGTGTTTTTGGCGTGGACGTGGCATTCAGGAGCTCTTGGGTTCATTTCCCATTTGCCCCATCTACCTTCCTTCCTGGGCAAGCTTGGCGCTCGCACCACCTAGAGATAGGCCGTTGGTCTCCCCCAATTGGCATTTAGCAGAGACTGCTCATGTTCATAGGGGTGGGGGACGAGAGGGGGGGAGGCACAGCGACTGGCCCATCGAAGAAGATCCGTTCTGATACTACAGGCTGACCCCTGGCCGGTATCGCCCACCTGCTGTATCAGGTAGGTATAGCACCTGCGGGTGGGTGCAGCTCCCCCATGTTCCCTCATTGGAGGCTTGAGAGCACGGATGTGGTTGCTACAGGTTCCCCGTAATTCTATAACGACAAGTAAAAAAAAGTCCTGAAAGACCGTCCTGCTGTCCAGATTTGACAGGAAATTA